GAGAGAGAGAGAGAGAGAGAGAGAGAGAGAGAGAGAGAGAGAGAGAGAGAGAGAGAGAGAGAGGTTTGCCAGTTCTTTTTGGATTCCTCAAGGCACGGAGTTGTATATTCATAGTCTCCAATCTTGTTTATGGATGTCAGAGTTCCCTGTTCCTTTTGTTGTTGTTCTTGTTGTTCTTGTTGCGCACCCACTCGCTTTCTATTGAATTGTATTCAGTATCTTCTTATGTCAACATTCCCTTTCAAATGTGCACATTCTGAAGATAACCTTGTGAATATTGTCTGAATATTGTTATTTGCAGAAGCACCATTCAGCGGCTCAAGCGAGAGCACTTATCTGATTCCATCTGGTCATGCGGTCTCTCTCCCTGGCAAGTTCGTTTGCATGTTTGCGCAGCTTCCTTTGGCATCGATCTCTCTCGTATATCGGGTTCTTTGCGGGAGTTCTCTTCGTTTACTTGTTTTTCCTTGCAATCACTTATCCCCCGACGACATTTATTTTGCCATCACCCGGACCTCTCTAAACACGCAAACATCGCGCTGCCAAGACCAAGAGCTACGGTTCCCTCTCGTCAGATGTCACAGTCCATACCTGAGGCGCTCCCTCCTCCGTAGCCTCCCCTGCTTCGTGCTTATCGGGGATCTGCCTCCCCTCGCCTCCTCCCCCTCCCCCTCTCCGCCATCACAGGGGCACAGGCAGCCACTGGAGCCCGTAACAGAAAAGCGCCTTTGAACTTTATGCAGTGGTTCCCAGAAGGCCTTTAGGCGGTACAAAACCCTTTATGCTGGTCGAATACAAAACCTCTCCTACGCGGGCAGATACAGGCACGCAGCATAGTGCGGGTATTATGTACTTTCATTCCTTGATTAAATGAAGTGATTCTACCTTTGGCTTTGAATGTTTTCTTAATGACCGCTATGTTTATATTTTCCACAAGAGCTCTCAGTCACACACATCCTTTGTGGCGCTCCTTGTTGAGGGGTTTCCACTTATACCAACGCTGGGGAAAAAAATATAATCAAAGAATAAGCCGGACCAAAAAAACATCAAAGAATGCCACGAAAATAAAAATCAAAGACTTTTAAAGGGAAATACGCGAACTACAGCTACCGATTTCCGAACCCACCAGAAACCGGATCTTCAGAGTACGAGACAAAGAGACACGAGGGAGCCAACCTTTAACTTTCAATAAAAAAATTATTTGGCGGAATGCCTACTGTGGAGTCCATCCGCTGACGAATTTCTGTTCCTAGAAAGAACACCACGCACATCCTCCATCCTAGCCAATGTACGAGAGTGTTAACCATTTTCCAGTATAACAAACATAAAAATCGTATCAATATAATATATAACGATAGTGTATCCTCAATTGTTCAACAAATATTTCGGCATCTCATAATCCTTGCACATTTAGCACAGCTGTTTTTCCCTCCTTATCATTCCAAATAAATTCATCTCTGTTTTGATATCTCACTCTCTCGATTCGTCCAATCAATCTAACTGCTCTATTCATCTCCCGAACCAATATTACACGCATCTATTTTAACTTGTCTAAAAATCGAACATAACTCCGTCTAAATATAACTTAGACATCATTTCATTCCCTTAATAGCACCGCATCCCGGCATCTTTTTCACCGAGCAGTCCCTTTCTTTTTCTCCAATGAAATATTGCAAAATCATTCCATCATTCGCCTGACACCCACATCATCCCGTAAATACCAATTCCACGCACTTTTTTCTCTATTATCTGTGCGGTTTCTAAGTGAAAACGGTGACAGGGAAGGCGGGAATTAAACGCTATACGCTCTTACTTAATTAGGAGGGGGGGGGTAAACAAACAAGTAATAGATAAAAAAAAAGTATTGAGAGCAGGGCGCCTAGACAGGAAGAGGGGGAGGGAAGGGGAGGGGAGATGTGGGCGGTTTTCTGAAGTTACTAAGGACCCAAACTTCTTGCTTCTTCTTTTTCCTTTCTTTCTTTCTTCTTCTTCTTCTTCTTAAGTTTCTCAAACGCATCGATTCACTTTCTCAACTTCGCGCCGGGCCCATCGACTGGCATTCTAAGCCCCTCGCTGGGGTCCTTTGGTCCTCCACCAATTTTTCCTTTCTTCCCAAGCCTCCGTTCTAAGTTTCGCGTTATGAGGCGATAGACACTTTTGCCACTTGTAAAGTAAATAAGAAAATTTGATAAAACTGCCTAAAGGTTTTTTTGTAACCTGTATCTCTTGCTTCTAGTGGATAACAATATACAATTAAATAAATAAATAAATAAATACATATATACATACATATATATATATTCATACATACATATATATACATACATACATACATATATATATATATATATATATATATATATATATATATATATATATATATATATATATATATACACACATACATACATTCTTATACATATATGTATGTATATTTATTGGCATACGTATGAATATATATACATGTATGTGTATATATATGTATATATGTATATATATATATATTTATATATATGTACACATACATACATACATAGAGAAGAAAGAATGAAA